TCCCCTCCTCAAGTAACTATTTTACAATGGTAGTCAAGGAAAACCAAGATTTTGTTGGTGGGATTGCAAAATCGTCCAACCACTCTGGAAAGCAATATGGCACTTCCTTAGAAGGTTGGAAATAGGAATACCTTATGATCCAGCAATCCCTCTACTTGGTATTTACCCAATATGAGCCATAACACAAGTAGATATATGCACACCAATGTTCATAGCAGCACTATTTACAATAGCAAAAAGAGGGAGACAGCCTAAGTGCCCATCAACTGAAGAATGGATTAATAAACTGTGGTACATACACACAATGGAATACTATGGTACCTTGAAGAACAACAAGGAAACTGCAAGCCACTGCATACCATGGATGAACCTTGAGGACATTATGTTAAGTGAAATTAGTCAGCCACAAAAGGAGAAATACTGCATAGGGCCATTATTGTAAAAGACTAAGAAAAAGAACCCATTCTAAAAGGGGAAAAAAAAATTATATATACAGTTGCTGATCACCAGGATGTATGGGATGAGAGAAGGGGAGGGAAGGAGGGAAGATAGAGCACAGGGTAGGGAATAGACACAGGATAGCTTGGGTGTTGTGGGGACGGGGTGCAATACACAAGAAGGGGGAGGGGAATGGAAGAACAAGTGGATGGGAGAACAGTTAGGCAGGTTTGCATGGGCTAAGTAGGACAGCGTTAAATGATGATGTGTGCACAACTTTGGAACAACAGGGCTCCAGCGTACAGGGATTGAGGCATGGTTTGAATGGCTAAAAGCGGGGAATAATGTTAAGATGCTTGGCTGTCTTTTGAATCTTGGTTTTCCTTGCCTACCATTGTAAAATAGGTACTTGAGGAGGGGAGAAACAAATAGCCAGAAACATCACAATAGAATGCTTGTAAGTCCATCTTCAGCCTATAACTGATTGGACTACCTTAAAGGGGGCTAGAAGTTGCCCAGTTAAAGAGGCTTTCTGTGGAGCCTTTGCATTGCATACTACCATAGGTGGAATCCAGAACCCCATCCAGAATCATCT